ATAGACACCAGAACCACTACATTAAGCTGAAGTGGTTCTGGGGACTATAGTGTTTCTTTAATGTGAGGTAAATTAGAGATTAGTGCCACGAATAATATACTAGATTGCCTACTTACACCAGATGAGGATGATGATGGGCTCTAGCTGCAGTCTGGCTCCACTGGTCTGGTGCAGAACAGGCTCTCTGGAGGCGGTTTGTAACTGTGGTCACAAAAATCAATGTTCTGGGAGAACGGGAAGCAGCTCCATTTTTTGGGGGGTCCTTTACACAGCTCAAGGTCTGGGTCCCAGGGTCCACCTTCATGTTCCACCAATGAGTTTATTCACAGGGGGTAGAGTGTGTAGGGGATGTCCTGATTTGTGTGTAAGGAATGCATTGTGTGAATCTGTGTTTGTATGTGTAAGGGATGTAAGGTGTGTTTCTGTGTATGTATGGGATGCATTGAATGTGTGTAAGGGGTGCATTGAGTGTGTGTAATGAATGCATTGTGTGTTTCTGTGTGTAAGGGATGCATTGTGTGTAATGGTTGCATTGCTTGTCTATGTGTGTCTGTGTGTTTTTCTGTGTGCAAGGGTGCATTGTGTGTATGTGATGAATGTCAATCTCCTCCGCTCCAATTTCCTTCTCCTCCTCCCAATTTCTCTTTCTCACCCCCCCTCCTAATTTCTCTCTACCCCGCCTCCTATTTTTCTCACCCACCTTTTCTTTCTCACCCACCCCCTTATTTCTCTCTCCCCCCTTATTTCTCTCTCTCCCCTTATCTCTCTCTCTCCCCCCTTATCTTATTTCTCTCTCTCCCCTTTATTTCTCTCTCTCTCTCTTACCCCCCTTATTTCTCTTTCTCCCCTTATTTCTCTTTCTCCCCCTTATTTCTCTTTCTCCCCTTGTATTTCTCTCTCACCCCCTTATTTCTCTTTCTCCCCCCTATTTATTTTCTCACCCTCTCTCACCCCTTATTTCTCTTTCTCACCCCCCTTCATTTCTTTCTCCCCTCTCACCCCCTATTTCTCTTTCTCACCCCCCTTATTTCTTTCTCACCCCTCTCTCACCCTTCTTTCTCCCCCTCCCCCCTACCTCCCTGTAGCGTGGCCGAGCCCTGTATAGTCCGGCGGGTACAGGGAGCTTTTGTTTCCTGTACCCGGCCGGACTAACAGGAAGTGCACACTCAGTGTTCCCTTCCTGTTAGTCCGGCCGGGTACAGGAGACAGCTGCTCTCTGTACCCGTCGGACCATGCTGCAGTGAGGGAGCTGACAGGAGCGCTCCCTCCTGTCAGCCTCTCCTCAGGCTGCGCCCGGGCGGTGCGGTCCGCCCTCATGGACGCACCGCCCGGGAAAAGCTGCAGTCGCCTGAGGCTCTTCACAGAGCGCTCGGGCGGCTGCAGCATGGGGGGGGGCGGCGGGGCTGGTCATGGCACCCCCCACCCTGGTGGCACCCGGGGCGGACCGCCCCCCCCGCCCCCCCCTTAGTACGCCACTGCCCAGCTGGCATAGCATTGTGGGATTTGTACGACAGATAAAGATCTACCTTTTGGCTATCCTTGTGATGGGAAAGCCCAAACAAATTCTTGCACCAGGGTCCTCTCTACTTTAGTTCCACCACTGTCTCTGACATGTGACTGTCCAGGATGTAATGCCACTTTACAGACAGTAGAAAATAGAAAAAAGGGTCCAGGCACTCCAAGATACAAAAAGGCATATTTAGTGAACCCACTGCCACTCACAATGTTTCGACCTATACGGTCTTTGTCAAACTTGACAAAGACCGTATAGGTCAAAACGTTGTGAGTGGCAGTGGGTTCAATAAATTTGCCTTTTTGTATCTTGGAGTGCCTGGACCCTTTTTTCTATTTTCTACTGAGTATTTGGTCCCTGGTACTGGGACTGGCCTGGTTGCACCCAGATACATAATACTTGGGATTGAGTGCAGTTACCCATTTCTACTTTACATACAGTGTGATCTCTTGGAGTGGAAATCTCTCAAGGACTTTAAAAATATATTGTGGCCCACTGACTGGCGCCTGGTTTAAAAGTAAACTTAAGCAGCATATTCTCCTAAACTCATGCCAGAAGGGATATTTATTATGTTTTAATACATCTTTATACCCTTGAGGCACTCAGTACAGGCAGAGCATCGGAAGCCTACACTGCCGGTTGCCACGTGCGGCAACCCGGAAGTGATCACTCTAGGGGGAACGATCACTCGGGCACCCGGCAGTTTGTGGGGGGGTATTCCACGATGCCGCAATATCGAGGCATTGTGTAATACCCATAGAGCACCTGGAAGCCATCACGATCGCTTCCAGTGCTCAAATTTACCGCAGACGTATTTGAGGACCATTTTTTGTCGGACGTACCTCATACGTCCATGGTCCTTAAGGGGTTATACTGAGAAAAATACCGGCATTTGTATTGACGGTATTACTGCAATATTGAGGCAGCCTCAAATAAATACCGGTCAGGTGGCAACCTCAAGAGTAGCGTGGAAAAAAAAATAATCTTTTTTTTTTAAATCAATGAGCCTATTCCGTGGGCATGGGCCTGGAGCTCCAGCTCCATCAGCCCCTATGCTAATCCAGCCCTGTCTGTATCTGTTTAAAAAGGGACATGGTTACTTTAAGAACCATCTGCATTTAATTCTCTGCTTGCCAGGAAGTCCTCTTATATTCTGTGAAAATGGACATAAATAGCACAATGTCCTTTTTATATTAAATTGCAGCCTTTTATGACAGTAAAAGAAAATATAATTTGCTGAAAACACAAACTGAGCGGATTGAAAGATAGAAAGTATTAATTTGTGTGAATGTCTGTATAGCGCACAGTGTGTCACTTGGTGTCTCCATTGTGGACACACGGGCAGCAGGACCTCTAATTATATCCTAGAGGCCAGCGCAGGGCAATCATTTCTCCTTCACTCCTTATAATGTTATTTAAAGTTCTTTGAAACATCTAGAAAGCCTGTGAAACATAAAGGGCACTAGTTGTTCATTGGATGTCGTCAATGAAAATAAAAGGTTACCCAGAGATACTGGAGGCTTCAAAAGGATCCCAAGATCTCGGAGATACATGAAAGTGTCTGGGTAGGAAAGGTTCTTGTACGTTTGCTCTGATGCTTTTCAATTCAGATCTCGCTGTTAGTAACACACTGTGTCCTCTATAGCAGGGGTAGGCATCCTACGGTGCTCTAGACTACATCTCCCATAATACTCCTAATGCTCTTACAGGCATAATGCTGGCAAAGCTTCAAGGGAGGTGTAGTTCACATCATCTGGAGTGCAGGAGGTTGCCCGGATCTAAAGTATTCCGTGCACGGCCAAGGGGTGATTTTAAATGGAGACCCCCATTCCAGGTTATCACATTGCCCCCTTGTGCATCCTCTGTGGTGACGCCAGGAGCCAGAATATGACATCACTCCGGCCCCAGCATCACTAACAGCATGAAAGCGTTGCAGACACATGTATATACATATACACATAACCACAGATACACACACACACATAACCACAGACATACAGAAACACAACAGATCCTCACACGCACACATACACTCACAGACACACACACAGTCACAGACCTATATACACTGTGGATCCTCTCCCTGGATCCTGGTGTCCAGTGGTTGCTGTTGTGATGGGATCACTGTGCTCTTCCTGCACAGGTCCCTCCCATGCCCAGAAGTGATGCTGGCTCACTACAGGGCACACGAGGGAGCTGTGCAGAAAGAGCACACTAAGTAATGGGCTCCCTGCCTCCCATTGCACCCAGCACTCCGGACGCATTACAAGCGGTTCAGAGCTGCAGGTTGGGCACGCCTAATCTAAAGCAAGTAATAAACTAGGCAATTTTTGAAACTGCGTCCATTTTAAAAGGTCAATACAAAGTCACCTTGTATTAGCCGATTGTCTTGCAGGAATAAAACCTGATTCCACTGGAATTAATGACTGTAACAAATTACTTTAAAGTTTTGTAAGAATTTTTGTTTATAATTAAGTATCGACATTAAAGTATCACTATAGTGTCAGGAAAACAAAGTGGTTTTCCTGACACTATAGTGCCCTGAGGGTGCCCCTTCAGTAGCTTATCTTATTCCAGCGCCGGTCTCCCTCAGTGCTGGTGACCTCTCTTTCCCCGCCAACGTAAGCTCCCTCTGCCGATGTCAGCGGATCTGAATGCCCATGTGCGGCAAGTGCCGCACGCGCATTCTAGCAGTCAACAGGAAAGCATTTTTCAATGCTTTCCTATGGACGCTCTGTGTGATGGAGGCATAATATGCCTCCAGCGTCGCAGATGCGCCTCTAGTGGCTGTCCGGAAGACAGCCACTAGAGGCTGGCTTAACCCTGCAATGTAAACATAGCAGTTTTTCTGAAACTGCTATGTTTGCATCTGCAGGGTTAAAACCTGTGGGACCTGGCACCCAGACCACTTCACTGAGCTGAAGTGGTCTGGGTGACTATAGTTTCCCTTTAAGTTGACATTTTGACATATATTAGAAGGTTTGCATCTTTTGAAAAAGGGCTGTCAAAGAACGTATTAACTCTGAGGCAAAAGTTTTATGATAATGGTTTGAAAAACCATCAGGACCAGGAGTTTTTTAAGGACGAAGATCAGATATCCTCTCGCCACCTCTTCCTCATATTGGGATATTAAGTGATTTTGCCTGTTCTGGAGATATTGTAAGGAGTGATATGTTATTTAAAAATGTCTCAAAAAACTGAAGTGTGGGTTGGAAATGCTCTGGATCATCTTATGTATTTCATCTACCACATCATTGTGTGCTGAGCACCATTTTATGGCAAGACAGGAGGCTTCATATTTTGCTTATTCTTCCTTACTGAAACCTCCCAGGAGCAAAGAAACAGTTAACAATGTGGATCAAAAAAATCAACCAATCAGAATGTATATCAATAACATATAGTGCAATAGACTCCTCCCCCTTTCTTTGCTGCTCGCCTCACAAGCTTGATATACTCCACGGGTGTTTTTGGAGATCTGGAGCCTACGATGGTCCAACGCGGCCAACAGACAATGGAACCGGGGAGAGTCGGCCATTCTCCTTGCCCACATGCTGAGAGCACAGACCCACCGATGCCCTGCTTCCCCCCCAAGACCGGCGGGGTTTATCCCAGTCAAGCCCTCAGAGGCAACCTTCCTGCAAAAACCCCAAAGGCTGAACCCGGCGGGCAGCAGGAAGAAGCAAAGACAGGCAAAATGGCTGCCAACACGTGCGCTCAGGCCACGGAGAGGCCTGACCTCATGGCTAAGTTCGACGACCTACTCAACAAGTTCTGGCGAACACTAGCATCCAGGTCGCAAACGGCTAAAACAAGCAAGCCAGCCACACACTTACCCACAGCGATGCCGATGATCTCTCAACAAGGGTGCACACCTCTCTGGGCATACAGAGTCCACACACGGCGCCGAAAAAAGGCAAGGCAAAGGGCCGGCAAACCCACGCGACTGACGACACCAACGGCGGCGCTCCGCTGCAACAAGCATCCAGCAACAACCAACTTAGCGGCAAGACATGGCAAGGAGAGCCTGCAGCACCTACACCTCACCCCAGATACACGGATCCGCTCATGATCAGCCTGCACCCGACATCACATCCACAGGCGGGTCTTGAAAAACGTGAACCACTAATGGGCCCTTGAGATGGCATGGGGCCGGCGATGTTTACTAAACACTGCCTCCGTTTGGGAACCTGATAGCAAACGTGGGGGCAGGGTAGAACCTACGAACAAGCCTGGGTGCATTGAGGGTATGGTGACTTTGTAGCTGCTCTAACCTTCAAACCTGTCATGTATATCCCCATGAGATGTGGCTAGGGATTACTCCTCACTCACTCTCTAGTTTCTAACCACCACCACCACTGTGTAAACTAAGCAAGAGGCACTGGCAACTCACAAGCAGTAAGTCTGTCAGTCTATTAGCCAGTCCCAATGCCTCAGCTGCCTCACTTCACAAACGATGGGCTGACCTACAATAAGACACCCATTTCTGCCAGTCACCTCGCTATTGTCTAGCATAGGCTATCATATTAGGCTGAATTTTTGTAATCAACTTATCACTACTGTTATTTCTTGCCATGATATTGTTTGCCATATTATGTATACTAGCTAGTACCTGATGCCGTAGCAATACTAAACACTTGCAATATATAGTAACTAGACTATGCTACTCCTGTTAACCTCTACCTAAATATAAAATGTGTGCATGTTTTTCTCATATACCTCAATGTTACAAATCACTACGACACGCTAGAGGATTGCCGTTGGGGAACCTCACTTGCGAATGTTATATGCATATGCACCGCAAAAAAAAAAAATGTTTTTTATTGAAATACTTTTTAACTTATGATAGTTTCCTTATAATATATATTTTTAATTTGTTACATATTTCTTTGCTTTCTATTCCTTGTCTTACTATTCTAAAGGGATTTGCTTTGTTACTTTATAGCTTTCAATAGGCTTGTTCAACCTTACCATTTTCCCCACCTTTTTTTATATAGCGGGGCTTTTATTCTGAGGTGAGTTTCCTCTAATAAATCTTCATCCTTCTGACTTCAGTTGTGCAAACTGTTTCAGACAACCTTTTTAACCCCTTAAGGACACATGACATGTCTGACATGTCATGATTCCCTTTTATTCCAGAAGTTTGGTCCTTAAGGAGTTAAGGTAAGCCCCTCTACCTTTTCTCAACCCATATTTTCTCTAGGCTTTTACCTAATTCCCTTTTTCTTTTAACCCATAACTATACCAATACCTTGGCCTTTTACACTGGTTCCCCAAAGGTGACCCCCTCTTGACCTGTTCATATGTTATCCCTATAATTAACTGTGGTGATTTGTAAAATCACTTGTCTGCATCAGCTTATTGTTATTGCATTGTGTCTCCACTTTTGTCTGCATTATCTAACTTTTGTGGCTGGCACCACTTAAAATTTCTGCTTCCTTTTCTGGGATTATTGTGGTTGACCCCCACTCATTATTCCCTGCTCAGTCGCAGATTTTGTTTTTGTGGGTAACTACTTATTATCAAAACTTCAGTTTACTATATTGATTTCTTGTTGGGTGACCCCCACTCTACTTTATTTATATTTCGCAAGGGTGAACCCCTTTGATTTCTTACAGTTTGGGCAACCCCCACTATACTGCTTATTCTGTGGGTGACCCACACTATATTGTGAGCCTCAGACATTACAGACCTTATTTTTTTCAATACTTGGCTGAACCCCAAACAAATTAGCCACATACAGCCTTTTGCCTTAATTTAGAGAATCAACATTCCGATTATTTAATATTGTGTATAGCAGTACATATTTCTCCATTAATTTTTATTTTGATAAGTGACAGTCAAGTGAATGGCTGATCAGACAGACCCAGCAATCTCTACTGAGTTGCGGGCTTGGCTCTATTCCGCTATCGCAGTTTCCGTGAACAATCTTCTACTGACTCCGAGGATTTACATCTCTCAGATCTAGAGGGAGCCTCGGGAAAACGTCCCTGAAATGGGAAAGCACCTCGGCAGGCAAGAGTAAGGCTCCTGCAAAAACGTTAGAATTATTCCTGCCACCTACTTTGCAGGATTCCAGACCCTTGCACTAATTATTCTGAGGATCTCCTGGTGAATGTACATTGAGATGCCTTGACATCAGAATTTGTCAAAGAGTCTTATATTATCAGTCAGACAAACTCTAATGACAGGGACACCAGCAAACAAACAAACAAACAAAAAAAACGTGATCCACTTACTGACTTCCTCCTGGATGCTTTTGGACAACCATTTTTTTACTCTAGAGTTATTCGGCACTCTTGCTCTGCTGAATAGGCACCTCCAGAACATACTGCTAACTTTTGTAAAGTGTGGCTTCACAAACCCATGGAAAAGGAAATCCGAGCCAAGTTAAAGGCTGAATGCCCCAGACCTACTATCCCAGATAAGGTGGCATTGATGTCAGAATTTGACTCTATGCTTGTCACTTTCTTTACGTAATCAGGCATCATTCAGTGTCTAATGGCGACTCAAGATAAACCTTTAGATATTTGTGGACCAATTATACAAATTTTCATTCTGGCTGATGAGGCACTAACTAGTGGCGAATTTGATCCTCCCACTGTGAGAGAGTGGCAATGCCAACATGCCCATATCCATGGAAAGGCATAAAAATAGATGCTAAATTGGCTGACTTAAGTTCTATTTGCGCCAATTTGCGACCGCCATCTTGTTTAGGCCTGACCACTTGCGGAGATAGCCAGGACATGCCCCCATATCTATTTCACTCTTGTTTGAGATACCACCCGGCTACTATAGCCTTAAAAGGATATTGGAAGTAAAAAATTGTAACCATCACTAATGAAGTCCAAAAACGAGTGAAGTGCTGCTGACTTCCTGCTATTCTCCTCTATATTGTTAAAACCACCATCTATTCCCCCTGGCTCATCTTGCCTCCCTAAATATAGTAAAATCTTACTTGTACTCAAGCCTGAAGCTGCTGGTTTTGTCCCTGTCTGTCTCAGAACAACAAGCTGTCTGCTGACATCATCAGAAGTGTTGTTCTGAGCCAATCACAATGCTTCCCTATAGGGTTGGCTGAGACTGTGAAGGAGGCAGATCAGGGGCAGAACCAGTCAAAAACAGCCCTGGCCAATCAGCATCTTCTCATAGTGATGAATTGAATCAATGAATCTCTATGAGTAAAGTTCAGTGTCTGCATGCAGAGGGAGGAGATACTGATAAGTTGTGATTCAAACTAGGCAAGACTGAGATAGGAAGCAGCTCTAGCAGCCATGTGATGAGTGGCCGGTGGAGTTATTACTAGGCTGTAATGTAAACACTGCATTTTCTCTGAATAGACAGTGTTTACAGCAAAAAGCCTGAAGGTAATGATTCTACTCACCAGAAAAAAATTCAATAAGCTGTAATTGTTCTGGTGACTATAGTGTCCCTTTAATCATCACCCCCTCCCCGCATATCTACTCTGGTTAACACACCCGTTGTGTTTTTTTGTTGTGTTCTATTATTTAGGTTCTTTTTATATTCTTAACTCTGTCTTACATTAGACGTGTATGTGTCTGATGTAAAGCTCCATTCATTGTTAACGTATCCCACCACGACATGTCAATGTTTGACTGTATGTATTCCTGCAATTCAGAATAAAATTTCCAATGGAATAAGTGAAGTCAGAGACTACAAAGTCAAGATGTATTAATAGTTTCAGTCAATTCCTGACTAAATTCCAGTCATTTGGCCGTGAAATCCTCTGGGATTCTAAATCCCGGTCAGATTGAATAGTCACCTGCTTTGTCTCTACCTGTCGGGATATTTTCACTCTTTCATAGTCTGTTTATTATCAGAATCGTTGCATTTAGTCCATCTTTCCCGGTGGCACGTTCTGTCAGTTAATCTGTAAAGATTTCATTCCCCCCTACCCTAGAAACAAAGATTACGTATTCTGAATTTCCAGGAATTCCTTATTCATTTTCATGACTCACAAAACAATGACTGGAAAGCTCTGGGGACTCAGCAATCAGAAGGTCAGACATTTCTCAAAACCAAAAGTACATCTAAAATGGTAATTCTGCCTTTTTATTTGACTAATCCTCATTGACATGCTTGAAATATAATAGCGATGAGAAAATCAAATTGAAATCGGAGTAACCCATGGAGTGAGGTTTCAGGCAGTTGTTGGGTTCTGTCTAATCAGTTGAGACGCTCCAAGAACACTTTAAACACTGGATTTACGTTAAAAAATAAAAAAATCAACGCAATAACGACAATGCCATCTTAATTATGCCTGGCTATGAATTATGGGATTTACCGTTCACAGTACCCCTAAAAACCCCAATCCTATAAACCCATTAACAACCCCAATTCCTACCAACTCCTCTCTTAAAGGGGGACTGTTACTTCTTAGTCAACTAATCAACTGAACAAAACATTGAAAATCACCCATTAACTTGTGAAATGACATCACAATCCAGTGGAGACAAGGCACGGCCACGACACACATTGCTAAGGAAGAGGAGGAATCAAAAAATTGTTTCATTTCTCCTTTTTGTATGCGCTCTCTTTGCTGAATGAAGGTGTAAATGGTGGAGATTCTAACCGTGGATGACAGGGAGCTAAGATGGAGGCACCCAGTTATAGGATAAAGATACACATTTTTGGTAAATATAGGGATTAATAAACATGACCGTGATATTTCCCCTTTAAAAGGGACACTATAGTCACAAGAACAATTACAGCTTATTGTATTTGTTCTGGTGAGTATAATTGTTCCCTTCAGGCTTTTTGCAATAAACACTGTCTTTTCAGAGAAAATGCAGTGTTTACATTACAGCCTAGTGATAACTTCACTGGCCACTCCTCCAAGATGGCTATTAGAAGTGCTTCCTGGTGCAGTGCTGCACAGTGTGACTGACATTCAGTGTCTCCACCCTCTGCATGAAGACACTGAACCTTACTCATCGAGATGCATTGATTCAATGCATCTCTAGTAGGATTGCTGATTGGCCAGGGCTGTGTTTGGCTTGTGCTGGCTCTGCCAGATCTGCCTCCTTGACAGTCTCAGCTAATCCAATGCTTTCATATGAGAAAGCATTGTGATTGGCTCAGATCAACATTTCTGATGAGGTCAGCAAAGGAGGCAGATCCAGCAACTGTAGACTGGAATAAAAGTAAGATTTTACTAAATTTATGGAGGTTGGGGAGTTAGATTGTGTTTTTAATACTATAGGGTCAGGAATACATGTTTGTGTTCCTTTAATACTACTTAAGTTGTTGCCTGTTTAACGACCAGTATTTAGACCACAACAAACAGTATAAAAGAAAAATCTTTTTCCAACCCTATGCCTGCGCTCACATTCCCTATATTTGGGTGATATCAGACTGTATGGACTATGTGCATTAATCATCCATACCTACTGGTAAACCTCCACAATTCATAAATTGTGAAATATGGATTAGGTAGATTATAACAGTTTATAGTCATAATTCTGGTGCTGGTTAGACACCCCACCCCCCTCCTTTTCAATTCTGTGAAGTCTTTTACCAACTAACTCCTCAGCTGGACTATATTTTAATAATGAACACTGCTATAATCAACTTTATCTGTATAGGTTCTGCTGATGGCGTTATAACTGGTAAGTTTTGTCCAACAAATTAAATCCACTATCCCCAACTTTCCTGCCCAACCAAGATTGCTTTTCATAATTCCAGGTTAAAAAAAGTCTACAGGAAAAGTCACCTTCCATTGTCTGTTCTAGGTTTAAATAGTACATCTGGGATTCTCCTAATCCAGTTTTTTTTCCAGCTATATCAGTATGTATAGATTCAGTAGAAGGTAAATTGCTATGTTCAGTCCGCATTGAACAGTGCCTGGATTTTTTTTTAATAAACACTTCTGATTAAAATATCATGAAGGCATCCAGAATGGCAACATTTCGTCTTGGGGCCACTGGTCTTTAAAGATCTAAAAACATATAATCTTCCCATCAAGAAATGGAAGAATCAGCATTGGGTTAAATCTTCAAGTGTTTTTTCCCCTCCAAGTTTCTAAAAGAAATGGAGGCACAGTGACATCACTGGGGGTGTTTAATGACCCTTTCACAGAATACATCGTACATGTGACTTCATTTACAATTCTCCAAAGGGCACAAATCAATGTACCGATAAGTTCACAAGTTCAGAGACACAGATGGTATTCTGCAGAATAAAAAATTAAAAAGGGACAGTTATGGCAATTCCAGTTTTTAGAAAAAAATAAATCTTCAAAGCCATCTAAATGGGTGTCTTGTGGACCTTGTAGTCTACAGCGGTTAAATCCCAACCCCCACGCAGAATACAGAATGTCTAATGATCATTACATCACACACTTTATGTAACAGGAGAGATCAATTAGAAACCACTTCTGGTTCATCTTCAAACACAAGACCACATTAGCTGAAGCAATTCATCTTCAACACCCGTCAAATCCCCAGCGGTGCAACTTCAGTCTCCTACAATGGTTGCCTTTTGTAGCGGACACGCCCATGTTGGATGCTTAAAATTTTCAGAATAAAAAAAAAACTAAATGGAAACAGATTAAGGGGTTCCTTATAAAGAGGAATTCTGGGGCAAAACAACACCAGCCAATCAGAACCCAGCATATCATGCATCACGCAGAGTATCTCCCATCATCCCATTATGCAGGAAGTAGAAATGTTGAATTAGACGAGCTGAATTACGCAATATGCCCACTGACCCCCAGGAAACAACAGGCAGCCAAGGTTAACTACAAAGTTTTTATTTATTTAAAAACAGATTTTATGCAGTTAAAATTAATGCAAATTGGAGAATTTTTTTAAGCTTTCCCAGCTGTTTCCATTAGAATCCTGTAAATCCTAAAAAGTCATTGCACATTCTGATGGATAGCCGGTGTGTGCACAACCAGCGCTGGCCAGCTGGGGACATGATCCATTCACATTGATTGGAATATTTAATTATCTCCTGTGAGGGGCAGGTCAGGTGATGACACATATCATGATTGTTTTAACATCCAGCTTGTTCTGTTCTATAATAATTATCGCACTTTCAGCGATAAGCACTGTATTGCTTACATGAAATGTGAACAGTGAACACAATTTAAACACTTCAATCAAAAAGGGCAATTTGGAAAAAGAAATCTCCCGTTAGACTATAAATCACAGGTGCATTTTTCAAATCTGTATTGATTTCACTTTTTAGTAAATAAACCATGCAGTTTCTGAACGTGTTGGATATTTGTGAATACACATATTTCAGAACCGCCCATGTGCGCATCTAATGAAAATCTCACATAACAAACATTGTTCAAGATTTAAATAACTGATCCACATTGTTTCAACGTATAAAAACCTCTTTCTGAAAATTAAGACAAACCTATAGTAATAATCTCAATCTAATAACGGCTCAGCTGGGCAAAATATTTCAACTCGAAAATATGATTTCGGTTGTTATCAGGGTTAGTCACTAAGTTGTGAATTGTTGAGGAATTACAGTGATTTTTAAATTTAAAGGAACACTATAGTCACCTAAATTACTTTAGCTAAATAAAGCAGTTTTAGTGTATAGATCATTCCCCTGCAATGTCACTGCTCAATTCACTGTCATTTAGGAGTTAAATCACTTTGTTTCTGTTTATGCAGCCCTAGCCACACCTCCCCTGGCTATGATTGACAGAGCCTGCATGAAAAAAAAAACTGGTTTCACTTTCAAACAGATGTAATTTACCTTAAATAATTGTATCTCAATCTCTAAATTGAACTTTAATCACATACAGGAGGCTCTTGCAGGGTCTAGCAAGCTATTAACATAGCAGGGGATAAGAAAATCTTAATTAAACAGAACCTGCAATAAAGAAACCCTCTCTTTACAGGAAGTGTTTATGGAAGGCTGTGCAAGTAACATGCAGGGAGGTGTGACTAGGGTTCATAAACAAAGGGATTTAACTCCTAAATGGCAGAGGATTGAGTAGTGAGGCTACAGGGGCATGTTCTATACACCTAAACTGCTTCATTAAGCTAAAGTTGTTCAGGTGACTATAGTGTACCTTTAATCCAAAAATTGAAAACTACCGACTAGGAAAAATTTTTCCAACTAAGCTACTTTTTGGGGAAAAAAACCCAACTATAAATTCACTTTGAATTCCCGATAGTTCAAGTTTGTGAATAACCCTGTTTTGGGTGGAATGTGTCCCAATTCCCAGTCCGAGAGCAGTTAACCCCTTACTAAGTGGCTTTGTCTAGTATGTGTGATAATGACATTCTTTGTGTGCACTGTATTTACAGCATGAGGTAACAAGCTCTTGTGAAATCACAAACTTATTATAGAAAGGGCATTTATTTAAAGGACCACTAAAGTGCCATGAAAACAAACTCCTTTTCCTGGCACTATAGTGTTAATAGGTCCCCCCCCCTCCCCCCACCCTCATAGCCCCCATCCCGCAAGGCTGGGGGGCCAGCTTAATGCTTTCCTATAGACGCTGGCATCTTCTCACAGTGAGAAGCACCGAAGTGCCTGTCAATGAGAGCCACTAGACGCTGAATTAACCCTATTGTAAACATATCAGCTTCTCAGAAACTGCTATGCTTACAGGAGGCAGGGTTAACCCTAGATGGACCTGGCACCCAGACCACTTCATTGAGCTTAAGTGGTCTGGGTGTCTATAGTGGTCCTTTAAGTAACGACCCTATCTATGAAATGTTGAAAAAATAAATGAACCACACAATTGTAAAATAAAGTCTTTGATCATGAAGCTATCTTCGGATGTATAAATACACAGTGGCTGTCCACATTCTAACTGAGTATGACCGGCACCATGTAGTAGCAGGAAGGGGACAGGTAAATCTAGATAAATATGGAAAATTTGAAGTTCTGACTACACAATAAACCCATCTCTACAGACAAAAGTAATCAAAAGGACTGTTTTATTGTCAATTGTCACAACAGATGAGCACAGACACAGAGCCTTGGAGTTTAGGACACAGTATTATTATAAGACCAAAAATAAAATATATATATTGAACTTGTAGGTTTACTGAATCATGATGGCAGAGATCTCAACTTGCTAGGAATTTTCAGCGTTGGTGCAGTCAGAAACGCTACTACACACTGAGAGCAGGGAGGAAAAAAGAGACAGCAAGATCCAAGTTTAACAGCCGACCGCTGATAGATATCTCATGGAATGGATTCCGGAACCTGCTTTATAGGTTTGTCTTCTTTTGAGATAGATTAATCTTGTCTCCCAGACTCAGAGCCATTCCCTAGAAAGAAAAAGCACAAATCATTTACAGAAAAAACTAGGAGCAACGGAACAGATCTGGACTAGATGTCTTTATACCACGCAGGGAGACACAGATTTTTAAGATACTGCTAAAGTGAGGGCTGGGATTTGTCAGTATGGATTATTTTAATCAGAATATGAACCATGATGTGATGCTGAATAATCATTTTAAACTGGCTAGCAAGCACTTTAAAGTGAATGTCATTTTAGGGGGTCTTTATATATATTTTACAAAGACCCCCAAATGTGACATGTCAGGTTAGAGTCCGGTGGCTGTAATTCTACTTACTTGAAGCAGTCACTCACGGCTGCTGCCATCTTCATTCTAAGTTTATTCTTCAGCTCCTGGCACTTTAACTGCCAGGTGCCATGAGACTACAACACTGAGGTCTAACAAAGACCCCACAGATTATGACTCCCAATAAACACGCCTGACGATGCCTGAATCCCACAGCCATCCCTTGTCATGACTGCTGGGATTGAACAGCCTTTTGTAACCTCAGACTAGTCCCTGCTTTGTGCTATGGAGTCTTTATGAAATACTATGTTTTTTTTGTTTTTTTTAATTCTTTATTTATTCCAAGGCAGAACATTACACTGAGAACATGATGCATCAAAACATTGTAATACATTGTTACACCGTGCAAAAAAGTATTGTATCGTATTTGCAATAACAGTGAGCTAACAATCTTTGCACCCCCTTACTGCAACATAGTAACATGAAGTGTATCTATCATACATTACAGCACTGTATCTCTGTTCTCCCTGGTAGATTTTTGTTTTACACGAAAAATATAAAAAATATAACAAGGCTAAGACCGCCAAACAAACATTTATTTTGTCAATAGAACATGCCCCATCCATTCCCCTGCGATTATGCACGGGCCCCATATGTCTTTTTCTCTAGCTCTATCGAATTATTATCCTTTTGCACCTATAATCTTCTGACCACATCCTTTAGCAGTGCCAGTTGTTTACACATTGTAAGGCAATGTTAGGTCAGTTGTATATAATTCTCTCAGACAAAAGTAAGAGAAGAGTAAAGATATAAGAGGGGTATGTGTGAAGATAGAATGAGATAGTACAGGGAAAGGGAAAAGTAAGAGGAAGAAGTAAGTGGAGTGGGAGCGCAGAGGAATCCAGTCTAACTTACAACCACTCCATCCAAGCCTGCCCAAGGGAGTCTCGCTTATGTGTACATCACACACTTGCTGCGTTAGCTACCCAAGGGCCCCAAACTTTTTCTAACTTTTTCATTGTACCCCGAACACGGGCTGTTAAGTATGAAATACTATGTTTTAATCGCACAAAGGAGACATGATTTCACTTACCTGGCTCTTGGCTCTAATTCGTATGTGGCCGGTCACAGGGGCGTCTGGACCCAGGTGAATTGGCTTTTCAATGCTGACATTGGCGAGTGCGTCCTCTCCAAATATGGAACGAGCGTAGAGGTTAGCAGCCATGAACCCGCAGTACCCAGACAAAGCCTGTCAGGGGAACACACAGTGAGTTATATTGTATATGCAACAAATACTGTCAAGCAATACAAGTACAAAAAAAATTGAGCACAATTAACACAATATCAACCCTGCTACACAACACACAGAACAGGACACAATACATGTGACACGTCATTCAGCTCACAATGTACTCAGAACATTACAAAATACAGTAACCATTCCATTAACTAGCGCAGGGCATGAAGCTTTTTCTTATGCAAGGCCCATAATCCTGGCCAGACATATGTACTATGTTCAGCTACCAATGAAAAAGGGAGCAGGATTGGCCACTTCCTGATTTAATGACAGGTTGCCGCAATCCCTACTGATTTACAGCTAACTCTTCAGGTTTATATATGCATTTTTATGCATTTGTCACAACCAGCCTGAAAGATCTCATCACATACCTTTTCTGGGGTGAGACATTTCATATTTGTAGATTTGAGAATATGCTGCAAATATTCATTCAGGTCGATAATGTTTGTGTTAACGGTCACCTACAAAGAAAGAAAGAACAGGAGTGATGTAATTAAAGACACACAGTTTTTTTAATTGTCATAGGAAAAAAAAAATACAAACTCCAAATAAAGTTTTAAAAGAAAAAAAACAAATTCTATCGAATTTTTAATTGAAGTGTTCCTTATTCAGTTTAGTTTTATCACCCCCATCACCGATAAACCCAAGCTTCTCCGTGAGGCAGTGGCGGATCCAGAGCCTGATCTCGGGAGGGGCACTTGTAGATTATTTGAATAAATAATCCTGGCACAATAACCACTACAGCTCAGTGTAGTAGTTATGATGCCAGTAGTGCCAGGATCCCACCCGAGAGTAGTCATACCGTTTAAGAACAGTTTGACAACTTACCTGGGGTCTGCTGGGATATAGGTCATAGGAGCAGTGGTGTGTGTTAGGGGTGCAGTGTGTGTGAGCGGTAAAGTGTGTGTGAGTGCGGCAGTGTATATCATGGTTGCAGTGTGTGTTAGGGGGCAGTGTATGTGTGGGGCAGTGTGTGTGTGTGAGGGTGGCAGTGTGTGTATGTGTGTTTGGTGAGGGAACTGTGGGGCAGTGTGTGTATGGGGAGGGAACTTTATGTATGGGGGGGAACTTTATGTATGGGGGGGAAGTGTGTGTATGGGGGGCACTGTATGTATGGGGGTCGTGGGTGTGGGGCAATGTGTGTAGGGGGGCAGCAGTGTGTGTAGGGCACTGTATGTGTCTGTGTGTGCAGGTTTGTGGTGTGTGTGCTGGTTGGGGGCAGTGTGTGTGTATGTGTGGGGGCAGTGTGTGTATTTGCAGTGTGTGTGTATGGGTGTGCAGTGTGTTTGTAGTGTGGGTGCAGTGTGTGGGGCAGTGTGTATGGGGCAGTGTATCTGTGGGGAGAAAAGCGCGCATGTGGGGCAGAAAGCAGTGGGCAGTGTGCCGCATGTGGGGGCAGTGTGCGCGCATGTGGGGGCAGTGTGCGCGCATGTGGGGGCAGTGTGCGCGCATGTGGGGGCAGTGTGCGCGTATGTGGGGGCAGTGTGCGCGTATGTGGGGGCAGTGTGCGCGTATGTGGGGGCAGTGTGCGTGTATGTGGGGGCAGTGTATCTGTGGGGGGCAGTGTGTGTGTATGGGGGCAGTGTGTTTGTATGGGGGAGGAAGGAGGGTAGGGAGGCTTTTTAAAAAAAAAAATATTTTTTATTTAAATAAATATATTGATGTCCTCCCTCCCTTCTTACCTTTGTTGAGGAGGACGGGGGACATTTCCCTGGTGGTCCGGTGGGGGATTCATTGGTGGTCTCAGTGGGGAGAGTGAACTCTAGCCCGTGCTCCAGGGCTAGACTTCACTCTCGCAAGATTTGGACCGTTGCCGTGGTAACAGCGGCAATGCTCCAAATCTCCAGAGAGGAGGACCCGGAGGAGCTGCAGGCAGAGCTCCCAGGTCCTCTCTCTCACTCCCCCGCCGCTGTCAGCAATGTGCCTGCAGACCGGGGAGGGAGATCTCTGATCTCCCTCCCCGGTCCGCAGGCACATTGCAGGGCTGGCACTTGGACAATACCAGCCCTGCATTAGCCGGCAGGGGAGAATCTCGGGGGGCAATTGCCCAGTTCCCCTCCCCCCCCGGATCCGCCAATGCCGTGAGGGTCACTCACTTACGATTTGTACAACAGTTTGAATTAAGTGAGACAGGAAACCCTTCTAGCTGACAGTTAGGAGGTGTTCCTAAATGAAACTTTTGAAATTGGCACTTTTAGGAAGCCTCAGAGACAGGAAATTAACACCTTAAAGAAACACTAACGACACCATAACTTCGTCTCAATGAGGTACGTACCTTTCTCACAGTTTGATAGGCTGAGAAGTAAGCTGACACACTCAGCCTATCAGCAGTGCCTATTCTGAGGCTGATTGAAGCCTTGGACCATCACTGGAAGGAGAGGTGCATAGCAGACTAGTGCAGTTTTTCACTACTTTGGGGTTAAAACATTTGTAATCTGTTTAACCCCTTAAGGTAAAAATAAGCTCAGGACCTACTGGTATTATTCCAGCTTCACTTAGATGAAGTCGTTATGGTGCCTAGAGCAAGCTGAATTGCTTTAGGTGTCAGGAGTGTTCCCTTAAATGTCTTCCTTTCTGTTTAATGTGTAACCATTGTGCACATACAACCTTACATTAAGGTAAGAAAATCCTAATGTAACTATACACATAGTGCTGGAGGAAATGCAGATAAAAGTGTACATTTACTTCTATGCCAAGAATTGAGTGACAGAACAGGAGAACCATCCTACAGGCTGATCTCTATCAAAAGCAACTATTATTAAAGCAATTATTCCAGTGTTTGTGTTAAAGGGGGATGCATGCTGCTTGGGGAAGTTTTTCCAAGCAGAATGTGGGGGAACATGACACGAGGACCCTGGAGAAATAAAAAATTACACAAATGATTCATCACTTTAAGGATGTAGTGATTGGTTGGAATATTTAATATAAAGGGCTGGAAATGGTGTAAAACATAACGGGGTCAGGAAATGTCAGAAAATATACACTGTAATAAAATCCCTAACAAGGAAGTCGCAGCTCGTTCAATGCCGCACTTACCTTGTTCTCCCACTCAAACTCCGCCCACATCTGTCTGAACTCTGTGTCTGTGCAGGATGCTGGCTGGATGTAATCCATGATGTCAATGTGAATGTCACTCAGGACTACACAGTTTCGGTCACTTGCTGCCCCAGATATGTCATACACTGTAAATGGAATTGGAGATATGAGATTTAGATTTGCTCAGCACCCCATGGAGATCAACTCTGTTAAGCTTGGATGGAAAAGATAAGGAAGTATGAATTGGGTAATATCAACGCAGTGGAAAGACTGAGCGCAAAATGGGATCCACTTGTGCAACCCAATTTAGTGTGAGGGGAAAGAGTGAATATTCAAGGTTTTCATAATAGGGCTGCAGTAGCGCATCTAGTAGACCCCATTTTGTGTTGTATAACGTTGGATTCAGGCTACCACCAATTGGAAACATTGGTGGTTTATCACCTTACAGCACTGGGACAATATTTTACTTAAATCATTAAGCCACTGTGGCCGTCTTTAGTCTGGTCAATGCAGTGGAGGTGGGCACAATCTCAGGCCTGGCAGAGCTCTGTGTTATTAAACTGTTGGATCATCTACTAGGTAAGTGCTACGTCAAGAAGCAGCTATGTATGTTGTGTGATCGGCCAAGTGTAAAATTCTGTATAAAAGGGTCGCCATTTAGATGCTGCAGGTGATGTGCGTTCAGTTCTGCAAGTAATAGGTGGGTTCAGTACAAGATATCAGCCTGGCATTAGACATTGGGTGGAACGTGAATGTGATGGGTACTTTGTGGCACAGATTGCTCGCGAAAGAACCTTTTCTGAAGTGCCATTGTCTGGCTTCTTACTCTTCACACTGCACCATAAATACAGACAAACACTTTCCAAGACTTTTAAAAATAATAAAAAAAATGAAGCAATAAATTCAAACTGATCTAACTACTTAATCATTATAGTGTCCCTATAATCTACAAATAAGGGTTTGTTCCAGTAATTATATGATCCCACACAAGTGAACGCTCCCAGCAATGCCACACTCACCAATATTCCCAAAAATGATCCCATTCTCTGTAGATGCAACTTTGACATTAGCTTTAATGTTGGCAAAGTCGTGCGGGGCAAGAGTCAGAGGAGATGGCTTCTCCACCAGCTTCAAATCACCTACCGGGTACAAGGAAAGAAAGACATGATCTTGCAAGCCCAGAGTATATACATTTAATGTAGATTAAGCCATTAGTCGTATCAGTCCAGTAGACAAGATGCCATTAATGCAGGACAATTTTTTTTTGTCTAACATAATATTTCAAAGACAAGATTTAGAGATATTCTAAATATTGTTTTAGACCTGAGAAAGAGAGGAAAATTCTCGGAAGCTAGTCTTTTAAAGAATATGTTAGTCCAATAAAAAAAATGCATCATTGCATACTGCAATACTCTGGTATTTTGACTTCTTATATAGATTTAAAATAAACATTTACTGCCACCTGCTGGCAGCACAGAGCACCAGCAGACATCATTGCTGTACTAAGGATTGTGCATTTGCTCTATTTCCATTTTATAGAACTTCACACATTTTGATGAATTTGCTACTTAGAGTAACACAAGAACAAAGTTCTCAACAGTCACCAATAGAATTCTTTGAAAAACTCTGCAACAAATAGGAAGAATAAATAGTTCCCTCCCTCCTCCATTTTATGTATTAGCACCTCCACGTTGACATGAAACAAATCCTATCCACTTACCTAAAGTGGCCAGCTCCAGAGTGCAGTTCTGCAAGGTGTCGCTGGTCTGATTGACAACCAATACATCCAGAACAATGTCATATTGGTTAACGTGTACATAAGCTTCTGCGTAGACTGGGTCTGAGAAACCGGTTAGCTGTGTAACCTACCAGGGAAAATGAGAATGGTATGTAGAGGACATTGTGCCATTTTAAAATGAGATTATACTGCAACTAAAAACTTTGCACATCACAATTGCAAATGCAGTAAAATACACACACACACGTCGAGTGGCTGAGGAATTCTGAAGAATCCTGGACACGAAGCTGAACGCACTTAAAGAATGTCAGAATTTCAAATTAAAAAAAAATTAGGAGCGTGTAAAAACTGGGGGTTTCTTGAATTTATTTTTCTCTCTTAAATTAGAGTATGAAAGATTTAAAGAATAAAACTAACAAAAACACTATTAAACAGTACACAATAAAACACTAATGCTATACGTATTTACTCAGTGCAGCAATATGAGTTTGATCTGCTGATTTCAAAGAAATTTACCTTGTTTAGTTTGGACGACAGAGGGTCCGCAGCTTCCTTTCGCTGGGTGGTCCCCATTGCAGCGAGCAGACTCAGTTGGAACTGATCTTCCTTTGAGGACGTCTCATTCTTGGCTGTCAGTTGCATGAAGGATATGGGATCGTCAGCCTGCACGGTCACACTGCGCTTCTCAGATTCTTTCTGTTTAACAGGAAAACAACGAGATGTATAATGCAGATCCCAGTGAATTAAGAAGTCGATTGAGAATTGAGAGGTCAACACTTCATTGAACAATTTTGCAGCATTTAGGATATTCTAAATCTACCTCATGTGTGTAGATTTCTGCCCATCATCTGTTTAGCGCTTACCCCTTCTAATGTTTAATGACACAGAACAAACTCTTTCTTGCAAGACAGCAGTGTGGATTTATTATGGGAAAATGCCACCAAAATCTCCACAACGAAATAGGACATGATATGCTCCCCAATGATTGTTTCAGCATTAAGTCTGTTTTATATTACAACTCCTTTAATCTTAGACTAGGACATATAGCTCAGATCTATTCTGAGAGTGATGGGAGTTACGCCGATACATTAAAAGTGGCAGCTGCTGCCCCAGGGTAAAAAACTCCGCCTAATGTGCCCCCTGCTGTTTCATGCAGGTATAACATCATCCACTGTATTTGAAAATACCTGCGCAGCTAAATAACAGGAAAGTCTTGTAATATATTACCACTCGATTCATGCCCTTCCTCCATTTATTTTTATTTATTATACTAGTGAGAAACTGTGGCCAGATCAAAAGATGCAATATTTTTAGTTTCTATAATATCACAACTGCAATAATTTAGGATTTGGTGAACTTTTAGGATTTTGTTTTATTAATAATCCAAAATGCCATCAAGGAGGTTAAAGGTAGCAATTTATGTATCGCCAAATTAGTCAATCACATGTGAACAAAGCCCAACTGGAGCAGAATAAAGAGACACTAAGCACTCCTGTTGTAATGGTTATGGTACTAGAAGACAGCAGACTTCATCCTCTGGTTCTGAGTCAAGTCATTTGACCAACTGTGGCTTCCCCATGGCACTTACAGCTTGTCTAACCCGATTGAAATTTGTTAATGCGGAAGTTGAACATTGGCAATTTCAATTAAACCTGGATGAAATGGACTTTGATGATGCAGAAGAGGAATTTCTAAATTAGCAATCCAGCAAATTGGGAGCTAGGCTGCAGATGCTCGGGGACCAAACTGACTATGTCTATGGTCCTAGCAACATAATCACTACAACGGACTATAGTGGATAAAGTTGAATCTAAGGACCATAAACCGCATAAAATAAAAAGATATCTAGTCCATAACCTACAATCAGTTATACACAACCCCCTTGTGTTGGAAGAGTTTTCTAGCCACCACGAAACGAACAGGTTTATTTAACCAAAATATTGACTTACAATAATATGCACTGCACACAATCTGATATTAACTCCATACAACACACAGATGTGTATGCATGAGTGCCCACCATATAGTAACAATATGTCTCTGTATAACACTCACTCTGGTGTACAAAGACGCAGGGAGCAACGTGCAAATAATTTTTACCTTCTGTGAAAGTTTCTCTTCCTCGAGCTTGGCGGAGAGCATGTGGGAGAGAGACTGGCGACATTCCTTGTTAAAGATCTCATTCATTAGCGGAGAACATTCAGATAAGACCTTCAGGCACAGTGAGATCCTGTCCACATCGTCATCGGTGATGGGCTTCTTTGGGAGAGAGGACTTACCCAGGTGAAGAATGCTAGCCATGAGCAACATTGCTTCAGCAACAAAAGACTGGAAGGAGACAGAAGGGGACGTGGATAAATTATGCAACTTGCTAATTAACAGGAAAATTCACAAACAATTCTGAAGACACTCTGAATGTCCCTTGTTTGCAGCAAAATCCCAGCATCTGCTGCTTCTGCAGTTACCTCCTCTTTAACCCAGGAAACAGAAGATCACTCAGGAAACCCTGGTCCCTAGGAAGCAGAGACTATAAACTTACGTTTTGCTTCTTTTTGTCTTGAACCAAAGCCACATAGCGCAGCGCGATCTTGGTGAGAGTGGTGGCAAGAGAAGCTGCAACAAAGAAATCGCCATCCATTAAGAATCCTCTGAGTGGAGGCCTGAGCGGAAAGAAGAGAGACGCGATTGGAGACACGTTACTGAAAGTTACTGAAACAGGATGAATTGTCAGGAATACACTGGGAGTTTTAGATTTCAAGCTAAATTACACAAAATGAAAAGACTGCAGTTAAGGGTTTTATTTTTTCCAATCCAGCTATTGCCCCCTAAAACTTGGCATTCCTGGGAACTCATATTTCAGTAAATAACCCAGCATGTGATAATTAGAAGACAGTGAATACTTCAAAGATAATTCAGACCCAGTTTAACACCATTTAAACAGATTACACACAAATTCTGTTACATTATTTAAAGGCACCTTAGGTTAACTGCAAACAGCTTACAGAGTCTTACATTGAGTGGAGCCTCCAGTTTCAATACAAAAATAGAACAGGCCTGTCTATGAGTTCGCCTCATTTACTGCAAATTCTCAGGGCCTGCACATATTGAATGTAACGGACCTTTTCAGCACACAAGGGGTTAAAACCGTTTAGGCGATCGTCCCCTTTCAGAGATGCAGGCACAGCTACTGTAGAACACCAAACTCCCGAACCGCAAATAAGGGAATGCTCCAATCTCCCGAACTGCATACAATATAGCACTCCAAACTCACGAACTGGAACCATACGAATACCTGCTAGCAGACGAATAGGAAAAGCACCCAAGTGGCTTACACTCCTAGCAATCAGTCTCTATCAGCATACAGTAAATCCCCCTAAGGACGAGACAAGGCTCCGTGTTGAGGGTCAAGCAGTGGTCTGACAGAGCTGTGGGTTTATTGTTCTTATATACACCTTAGTACCACCCACAGGGTTTTGGAACACAACCAGTAAACACATACAATACACTCAGACACTCCAACACAAAATCCTCCCCTCTGCCTGTGATACAATTATCTTACACAATAGGTAATGTAATTATCACAAGCAGAGAAATACAATTTTTCCACATTATTCATAACTTGAAAAGTATGCATCATACATTCACATAAAACTTACATTTTCAGAATCAGCATACTCCAAATACAAACATATGTCAAAATCATCCAAATTGGTCCTGTGGTTCAAAAGATAGATCGTAGTCCTTTGTGACCAAAGGAAGCATGGCTTTTCTACCCAAAACCAGTTTCACAGAGTCTTCTATCCTGGAGATAATTGGGAAGTAATCCAATTATCTCCAAGGACAGAGGCAAAACTCCATTGAACACATGGCAGCAAAAGACAATAAAACACAAAAACATATAACTGTGCAGCCATTGCACAAAACAGGTACATTCAACATATCCCCAGATAGCTCAGATCTGAGCGCACATTATTACTGGATGGCGCTCAGAGCACACACATACAGTTCAATTGCCATGGAGCCAAAGTCTTTCCCATAGTCTTTCATTATACGAATGGGCTCCATGGCATAGCTATCTGGGGTATCACCGCTCAAACAGGGCTAGCACCGAATGACCCGGCTTTCGTGTCATCGCAGGGGAAAATCAAGCGTTTCAACATGGGGCCACAGTCTAAAGGCAGCAGGCAGGCAACCAGGCTACTCCACTTCACAGTGGCAAGATTGGTCTCGTCACATTGAATATATTCAGTAAAACCCGTGAATGAAACAACTCTGCAAGCTCAGAGCAACAGTCAAGTTCATCCGTGCCAAGAACTGAAGGAAGGGAGAAAGGGAGCTCCTCCTTGCTGTTCGTTCATTAGGGAATTTACAATAACCCACTTCCATACGGAGTCATCACAGCCATTACTTGGAATGTTTTTTTACACCCAATTCCAGCGCACACAGTTTCTTAGATGTCTGTGCCCCAGGAGGATATCAGATACCGGATATCTGCACCACTGGCCTTGGATACAAATCTCTAATATGAGGCAGTGACAGCTAGCACTGGCGCTGAAGAGGTTGTGGGACCACATTTCTCATGATGCTCTGCAGGGACAGTTCCACCATTTCCAAAATAAAACCTCATACAAAATAGAACATGTTGGAATATTTGAAGTGACCGTTTATTGTACGTCTTTTTTTGGCTTAGTATTATTTATAACCTGGCAGACATAGCACTAACCTGTCCTCCTCTTTCTTTGCAGGCCGTGAACTACTGAGGGCACTTTGGGTGACATAGGTTCCCATTTCGGTCACCAGCTTTTGTGCAGGACCAACAGACACTTCTTCTTCAGACTTTAATTCACCAGATTCCTTTTTCAGCTCTGTCTCAACGATTGGGACCTGAAATTCAAGGGACGCAAACTCTAAAATCCGAACCCTTGCCAAATTTACTGCAGACAGTCATGTAATAGTAGTAATACATGTGACGGAAATCCCTGATCAGTGGGATCCATGGCGACACAACATATTTCACCTTCATGAAATATTATAATTATCTTAATTTACATTTCATGTTCACAAAATAAATTAAAGGTTTGCAGACAACTCATTAACTAGAATTCTTGAAAATAGCTTCACTCAATGAATTGGTTAAATGGATGGTGTGCGAGTTATGTCCTGGAAATAGTGTTTTTTCTTTGTTACCAGATGAACATTTGTATATTTAAGCAGTGCTTACCTCTCCCAGAGACCTACGAACTTCAGTCATGACGCTTTGGATATCATCTTTTGTGCTGCAGTATTCACCAAGAATCCAGAGAGCCCCTCTGTAAATCCTGAAATAATATTAACGTGCATGTTTTAGACTCTCATTGGATGGCAACAGAATGAATTTCCTGCAATAAAATTGCTGCATTCGTGGGTTAAGAAAGAGGGTAGGATGTAAAGAATTAAATAAAAATCTGATTAACTATAACATTCCAGGCTCAGTCTAAGCACCATAACCGCCAGTACTGAGAGTACCCCCAGCTGATAGCACCAGATAACGACCATGGAAGTTTCAACTACGTGATTAGTAGAAATGCCGATGAGGCCCTCTTTAGTGATTATGGTGCCAGAAGTGCATTTACCTGGGTCTTACCTGCAGGAGAGGACCAGACATCACATATACTCAATTCTTTAAATGGTTTAGCAATGATGATGAGCCTGAACAATTAATAAAAGGCTTCCCTTTCTACACAAAGCATTTTTATGTGTTCCGAAACAATATTTAACATTTTTTAATATAAATTTTGAAATGCAAAGTGACAGCTTAAATGCAATCTGAATACATACTTGACAGATTTAATGGCGTGAAACACTTCCAGCATCTTCTCCACAATCAGAGGTCGAAGGTTATCAAAGCGCTGAACAGCTTCGCGTACAAATTCCAAAACATCGGCTGCGGCAGCCTCATTACTATCGCTAAGAAACTCCATTAGCTGGAACAAAAATGGACGATTAGTAACCCTATCAGTGCGGCAGGGAGCAACGTTACGGGAAATGTTAACTACTGCCATGTTCTAGAGGCTGCAGAAAATAAACATTATTTAGAGTTGCAGGAACTATCAACAGCTATTGACATTTAATGATCGCGCTGCATAAAATAAAAAAGTAGAACAATCCTACTGAAAGAACTTTAGTTATCGTGTTTCTCGTCTGCGTTTTAAAATCAAGATATTCTATTTCACCGTATACTCCATATTCAGAGAAATCAATTTTACGGACTGCACCTTATGTTTTATGTAGTTATAGCGACTGCTACTTTGTCTCTGTTGGTAGTAAGCCTCTGTTCGTTAAAGTGCGTCTCAAACACAGCCACAGCTCAATTGCCCATTTTATTTCCTCCTCACCAGAGCCTGGCTTACATTGCCATTAACCAAAATTTCTACCTCGAATTACATTGTCCAGGGTTTATCTTGTTATTGTAGGTATTGCTGCAAATTCACGTAACGCACAATACGAGTTCAATATTTCCTACTTACCACAGGGATGACATTGGCGGCCATATCTGGGAAGCGGACGCTACACGAGTGCAAGGTACGCACTAGAAGCTGCCGGTATTTGTCTGTGTCTTCATGTTCAGATACATTGTTGGTTTTAATAACTTCCTTCTTTAGGACAATCACCAGCTGGAACCAAAGCAAAGAACTCAGCATGAGCACATGCAAGAGAGTTTAGCGTTCACTCATTCACACAAACACACCACGCATTTTACCTCCTCTACATTTCGTGAAGAAACCAGGTCAAGAGCCAACTGCAGAGTCTTCTTTCGTACCTCCAAATCTGGGGTGCTCAAAACTCTCAAGATGTCCATTACCAGGTCCTTTGGGGTGAAAAACAAACAATACAGCCTTAAATACCTTTTATCAATAAAATGTCCTATTACTCCACAGACATGGATAACAGAATGATATCTCTCACATTACAGGCCTCTGTACCCTAGACAATGCCAGGATTTAAAGAGACATTAATGAGAATTCCAGTGGAAGGACTTTCTGCTCACCTGTAGCACTCGTTCATGAGAAGGATGGTCTTTTAGTTCAATGAGACGATCCAGGACAATGAGTTTTACATTGTTATCACTCTCCTTAATGATCAGATCGATATAGCACTGAGCCGCTGCCTAGTGGTAGATAGAACAATTGGTATATTAGTCTTCATGAACAGGCTGACACGGATTTCACTTTAAACAGACTCTGGGATGAAAATCTACATCCAGTAGTTATGACAGGTATAATTATTACAGAGACCTGCAGCACTGTGTGATATGAGGACAGGCGCTGGGCAGTCTGTTGGAAAAGCAGAGTATACGCTGGACTAAATGGCCATATTCTTGCATACTGTGGGAAAGGAAAAGTAGGTGCTCCCAGTCAGAAAGCAATTATCTAAGGTATAAAACCATGTGATCTATTACTAATGCAAGGAGCCTATATAACAAAATGGGGGAACTAGAATAAATAAATTGATATAATAGGCATAACAGAAACATGGTGGGATGAGACACGACTGGGCAGTTAATTTAAATGGGTACATGTTATTTAGGAAGGATAGGAAAAACAAAAAAAGAAGGCTGGTGGGGTATGTTTGTATGTCAACCATGAGTTAAAGTCAAATCTTAGGCATGTGGAGTGTGACGAGGAAAATGTGGAAGCTTTATGGGTAGATATCTGCTTGGGGCAAACAAAGGGATGCCAATTATTGGTTGGGATGTGTTATAAACCACCTAATGTAAATAATAATGAGGAAGAACAGCTGTTAGAGCAAATTGGGAAAGCTGCAAATCAGGGTAACACGTTAATCATTGGAGATTTTAATTATCCAGACATAAATTGGGATAGAAAGACTAGTACTTCAGCAAAGGGAATCAGATTTTGGAATGTGTTAAATTACACCTTTATGTCACAACTGGTACAAGCACCAACTAGAAAGGATGCTTGTCTGGATCTCGTTATAACAAACAATGTTGATCTTTTTACCAACATTCAAGTAGGTGAGCATTTGGGAAATAGTGATCACAATATGGTAATCTTTTAAATAAACTCAAAAAAGCAAACTCACGTGGAGTATACTAAAAAACAAATGTTAAAAAAGCCAATTTCAATAAGATAAGGGCAGCTCTACAAGATATCAACTGGCATAAACTCCTTAGTAAAAAACACTGAGGATAAATGGAACATCTTCCAACAAATATTAGAAAGGCACATTTTTCAGTATGTACCATTGGGTAATAAATATAAAAGAAACAAATTGAAACCAATGTTACTTAGTAGAGAAGTAAAACAAGAGATTAAAAATAAGAAAAGGGCATTTAAGGCATTTAAATTGGACAAATCAGAGGCATCCTATATAAAAAAAGCCAATAATACTTGCAAAAAGCTAATTAAACACCTTAAGGACACATGACATGTCTAACGTCATGATTCCCTTTTATTCCAGAAGTTTGGTCGTTAAGGGGTTAAAGTGGCTAAACTAGAAAATGAGAAATTGATCGCCAAAGAATGCATGAAGTAGTAAGTAGAAGTATAAATCAGGGTGTTGCAGTGGATGTGATCTACTTGGATTTTGCCAAGGCATTTGATACGGTTCCTCACAATAGGTTATTCTTCAAACTAAAAGAAATTGGTCTAGATGAATATTCTTGTTCTTGAGTAGAACATTGGCTTAAGGATAGAGTACAACGAGTAGTCATTAATGGTAAATTTTCAGGCTGGACAAAAGTGGTAAGTGGTGTCCCTCGGGGTTCTATTTTGGGACGACTTCTATTCAACATATTTATAAATGCTCTTGAAATAAGCATTGAAAGCCATGTATCAGTGTTTGCAGATGACAAAACTTTGTGAAGTAATAAAATGTGAGCAGGATATTGCTTTGCTGCAGAGGGCTTTAGATAGATTCGGGGACTGAGCACTAAAATGGCAGATGAAATTGAATGTAGAAAAATGCAAAGTTATGCAATTCGGGGTCAAGAATGCACAAGCAACTTACACCCTAAATGGTAGTGAATTAGGGATAACCACACACGAGAAGGATTTGGGAATTGTCATAGACAACAATTTAGGCAGCAATATGCAATGTCAATCTGCGGTTGCTAAGGCCAGTAAGGTTTTGTCATGTATAAATAGGGGCATAAATTCTCGGGATGAAAAAATAATTTTGCCTTTTTATAAATCGCTGGTAAGACCACACCTTGAATATGCTGTGCAATTTTGGGCACCTGTTCTAAAGAAGGATATCATGGCACTAGAAAAAGTGCAGAGACAAGCCACAAAATTCATAAAAGGAATGGACCATTTTAGTTAAGAAGAAAGGTTAAAAAATTTAAATCTCTTTAGTTTGGAAAAAAACACGCCTGAGAGGGGATATGATAACATTATACAAATATAGTCGGGGCCAGTACAAACCATTATCTGAAAAACTATTCATAAACAGGGCTAAACATAGGACACGAGGTCACGCATTTAGGCTGGAAAAAAGGAAATTTCATTTAAGGCAAAGAAAAGGTTTGTTTTTTTTACAGTAAGTGCATAAGGGTATGGAATTCTTTGCCTGAAGAAGTGGTTTTATCAGAGTCCATACAAATGTTTATACTGCAATTGGATAAATACTTGCAAAAACATAACATACAGGGATATTGTGAAGAAATCCCTCTTAGTGTTCGTTATTTCTCCCCTTTTCATTCGGTAGATTTAACTAACGAGCAGAGACACCCCCCCCTCTCCCCGCGGCTTGTTAACTTCAAAAGCATGCTTCAATTAAACCCTCTACCCGTGCAGCCGCTGTTCGTACTGCCGATCGCCACGTGGCTGAGAAAACGGCGGCCATCTTGTTTGTGTGAACAAAGGCAGCGGGACTTGGTCGTCGAGTGTCTGGAACTAAAAAGACACTCGACTTCCCGAACACCGGTCCCAACATACGAACGCTGGATCTTTGTTTCCCGAACAGCTAGGAGAGTGCTGTTCGGTACTTTTGTGCATTCGTATGAGGGGAACAATCGCTGCTAGGAGCCAGGGGAAATCGTTCGTGGGATTTTTTGTTTATTTCAACTTTACGAAATAGACCAGCAAAACCACCCAAACTTATGGAACTGTTTTGGGCAGCAGCCCCATGGGAAGCCGGTCTCCTAAGAGGGAATTGTATGTTTGCAATGGGAGTGTATAACTATTTTTCTTGTTATGATTGGCTGTACCATGTCCCTCCCTGTGGGATGTCCCCTTACACGGGGACTTGCATAAAAGCCAGTGTGGCACAATAAAGCTCAGTTATGTTGCACCCTTCTTCTAGACTCCGGCTGATGTTTGGGTATTCATATGCTTTACTAAGGGAATCGTCTGGTAAAGCTATTGCATTCGTATGGGAATAGTTTATTTTATCTGCCGAACGGAGAGTTATAGTCACTGATGCTCTGGCCGTTCGGAAGGAAACTACCGAATGAGTATTGGATATACTAGGTTTCCTTACAGATATAATTTCTAATTAGTGGGGTAATAGCTGCATGATCCAAGGAGACATCTGACTGCTATTTTGGGGTCAAGAAGGAAATTTTTTCCTAGTTTGTTGCAAAATTGGAAGTGCTTCAAACTGGGTCTTTTGCCTTCTTCTGGATCAACAGCAAATACATATGTGAGGAAGGCTGAACTTAATGGACGCAAGTCTCTTTTGAGCTATGTAACTATGTGATATGTAACTATACCAGTTACTGATGGGGAACACTTTCACGCCCGCTATAACCAGACGAAGACTTTACATTTTTCTTTTGTTTTATGTCTCACTAAATTATGGTTATCCAGTGACTGTCGTTATACAATTAGCCACTAAGAATAACCTTTAGGAAAATAACTGGCAGAGCAGGTTATATATGGTGAATTAAAGCATTATATGCACCATAGCAACCCATGTCCGTTGCTTAAGTTACGATGTACAAGGGGCTGATTAAATCATTGTATCCCGGCTTACATAGGGTTATTCACTAAAGTGTGAATTCTCATTAATTCAAAGTGAATTTCAAATTTGAGGCCAAACTAGCAGAACTGAAAATATAGCTGGCTTGGAGATATATTATAACTGAGCAATTTTAGCTAGAATTTGAAATTTACTTTGAATTACTATCAACTCACATTTTAGTGAGTGTCTTATAACAGCAGCAATATACCTATCAGGCAGCTGAATGAAATCTCATAAACCCTACTGGACGGATTAGATCCCGAGGGCCAAAACAAAAAGCTCCTTACAGGTGGAGTTACTTCTTCATCTAACGGAGGTCAGTCTCATTCTAAAACCTGCCTGTGGCCATGTCAAGGACTTTAAAAAGTTCTTCTTATGAAGATATCTTGTACCAGGAATTCCCACATTACCTTGATGGCGGTCGGTGCACTGGACAATGTTACAAGAGTCCCTGCTGCTTCATATTTCACGGCTGGGCTGGAAGACTGCAAGAGGTTGAAGATGCACCGAATAAAACGAGCTCTTTCTGATGGATTGGCATGGCAAACCTGCAGGACGTAGACATGGTTTAGAGGATGTAAAAGGCAAATGAACACAAAGCTCCTTACATCAGGCCAAAGGACAGGATCAAAAAAAAGAAATGGATGAATGAATGAATGAAAGAGACACTGTAGGCACTTTAACTTCATCTTACTGAAGTTTTATTTTGCCTCTGGCCCTCCCCTGTCATCCTAAAACCCTTTTAATTAACTAAGAGGTTTGGAAGACTAGGAGTTGAGGGGTGAAGACAAAACCAACATGCAGGCCACAGCCAACATTGTGTCTACAGCTCAAGGCCAACTACAAATTTGTGTATTGTTCATGCAGCAAAAGATTAAAGCTTTACAAAATGAAAAGTAATTAAATAGTTAGTAACAACAAGAACACTTTATAATAAAAGCTACTAAAATTAGCAAACTAATCGAACCAGCCTCAAATATCAAACAGAATAGAAAGAGAAACAAAAAATATTCCAGTGAAACCTCATCCATAATTTGCACCCTCAACCCACACCCAGAGAGCGCCCACAACCCACGCCACACACAGATTGCACCCTTAGTACACACCTTGTATATGAGCTCAACAATGACCAGCTGTAGGATATCACCAAATGTCTGTACTTGGTCGATGCAGGTACTCAGATAATCCAGAGCACGCTCCTGGTGGACATGAAGAAAGAAGTCATGCATCAACCAAAAACTTTAACAATTAATAATGGTAAAATGCTTCAAAAAGCTACAGGAGCAAAAAGACATTTACAACAGTGGCCAATCATTAAAGGCCAAAGTTGTATACACCCACGGACTATGGGTATTCAGGGAACATTGAGAGGACATCACAACGGGCTTTTCAGTTAAAAAACGGTGATATAGGCAGTCATGCAACACCGTCCAGTTAATCAACTGTATATTTAGATAGCATCTATGTGCTTCTGCAGTAAACCTCTTGTGATTTTTATGATAGGAGTATATATAATTTTGTTTTTTAAATTTATTATATACACACATGCACAAAGTAATCTCCTTATCCAACAGAACCAGCGTAAACAGACTTATCTTCTAACACACAGTAAGTGTCTCAATTAGAAAGGTTCATATTCAAAATCCCATTCAATTCAACGTTCAATGCTCTATTTCCCACCTTTTAAATCTCTCCTTTTTTCTGTAATAAACAAATTCTAACTAATGTGAATCCCTCAAGAAAAAAGGAAGGCAAAATGGCTTCATACTACTTTCTGCAGAATTACATGCTGGGAGAGAACCTGCTCAAAAAAATTCGAGATTAGTGGATGAGATCACACTATGTTCTCTGTGCTTTAACAGCAAATGTTACGGAGGGTGTGACAATCATACTGCGGTTTCAGGTGGTCACCTCCACACCAAGAAATAATCATACGCTCAATATTTATTACAAATACATTTACTGCTTCCAGGTCAGATGAAAATTATCTGTCAAGAAGATTCTGATTTATGTAAAGAATATTTTAGTGACAAAACGGCTTGATGCAGATGGGTATATTCCATGTACAAAGAAACGGACATTATATACTGAACACTTCCCACCTCCCAAACAAGACACAGGCTAAAGACACTCGTGTTAACAGACGTTTGCCCCAATGATCAGTTCGAACAATGCCGCAGCAGTCTTCAGACCAAGCCTCACCTGATCTGCATGGATAAGCATCATAAAGGCATTTCTCTTGCAGCTTGCATCTTTCTCATTCACCAGGAAATCATGGATTAATTCAGGGGCATCCGGGATAAGGTGTTCAAAGTTTCTAGAAATCAGTAAATAACATTGAAAATTAAACACGAACAACTGTTTGCAATAAACTCAAATGGCAATGAGCAGATATCAAAATATTAGCTCAAAGAGAGAAAGGAAAGACAAGTTTGCACAGGAAAAACAAAGAACCATATAACAGTATGAACAGAACGATATAAACAGACACTTTCACCTAGCCCTCAAATATGTTCCCTGTGGATTCTACAAACCATCAATGTCACCTATTGCCTGGATAACATGTCTGTTACTGGCTTTTTCACAGATACGCCTGATCAAACTGTCACATCATAAGCATTTTAAAACATTTATTTAATAAAACTATTTGTACACAGAACTCTGCCAGAACAAGTTCCCATGGAAGTGCAGCGCGTACCGGATCAGATGTGGACATGAAGCTGCTGGTTTGTGGCCATTACTGTCATTTCTAACAACCATTCACTATGTGTTCAGACGTTATTGGTGCATTATAATGCTAGTATATGTATATGACTTTTTTCTCTCTCACTTTACCCTTTGGCGCTGGGAGTTCTGGGGTTTTTAGCATTAGATTGACACAGCCTTTGCTAAATGAACATTTGACTATTAGCTCTTTGAACAACGGGAGATCCAGACTTTATTAGATGAACTTGCAATATCCCCCAAATCGACACATTACTGGAAGAACATGCCAATGCCTGTACTCTGAAAGCCCCAGATCCAGACATTACTAGAATATCACAGCCTGTCCTCTGAATGCTACAGATACAGACATTACTAAAAGAACATCATTGTGTGTCCTCTAAATACCCTAGATATACCAGATCTCACCTGTAGATTGTGTATATGGCAAGCACGGCATTTCTGCGTACATAACTGTGCCGGTGCTCAAGGCATGCTCGGATTGCCGGCATCAGTGGCTCAAGAAGCTCGGCCTCCTTCAGCTTGCAGAGAAAACGCAGTGTGGAGCCGCGGATGAATTCATTGGGATGCTGTAAATCCTACGAAGAGATATTATAGAGTTATATCTCGTGAAAAGGGAAAACAAAATCCCATCATCAATTGTAACAAGCCATATTTTAACTGCCATAACCTTCTGTTCTTTAACCGGATCTCTTGTACTTCATTAATTCAGATCATCTCTCTGATTCAGATTTACAGAAACTGTCTATATACTTCATCTGCAACTAACCTACATTTTAAAATAATTTTACTGGGTTATTGAGATAACACCTACCCAAAATATAATCTGCTAGGAATAAATAAAAAGCATATTGGAAACAAAGCAGACTTATTAAAGCCCCTCAGTCTCATTATTTTTGTACTCGCTGGTATGAAAAGGAAAATAATTTTCACTATTTTCATACGAATAATAATACAAATACAAAACAACGGTTACATATAGACCGAATTCAAGCTTTTATAGCAAAATAATGCAGTTTGTGCACTTGTGCAATTTTTATTGGCAATGGCATTTTTGAACCAACTACATAACTTATTATCAATGTCATTTATTGAATAAAATGTAATATAACTGTGCATCTGTAGCTATATGTAGATTAGTATAGCCTAGTGCATTCACAGTCACATGTAGTAGATTAGTATAGCCTAGTTAGTTCATTCAAAGCCACATGTAGTAGATTAGTATAGCCTAGTTAGTTCATTCAAAGCCACATGTAGTAGATTAGTATAGCCTAGTTCATTCACAGCTGCATGTAGTAGATTAGCATAGCCTAGAAGTTCATTCACAGCTGCATGTAGTAGATTAGTATAGCCTAGTAGTTCATTCACAGCCGCATGTAGTAGATTAGTATAGCCTAGTAGTTCATTCACAGCCACATGTAATAGATTAGTATAGGCTAGTGCATTCACAGCCACGTGTAGATTAGTAGAGCCTTGTACATTCACAGCCACGTGAAGTAGATTAATATAGCATACTAGTTCATTCACAGCCACATGTAGATTAGTATAGCCTTGTACATTCACAGCCACATGTAATAGATTAGTAATAGCCTGCTCACCTTTCTGTAAGCATCGCAAACAAGGATCATTTCCTGCAGCAATTTGCCATCGGGGGTAGTTTTGGGGACGATCTCCCAGAAGACTAGAAGCAGTTTCTTTATGGTGTGATCTTGGAGGGGCAGCACAAAGCGAATGATCGTCATCAGGAGACCTGGCAGCTTCTCGCCATTTAAAATCATTATAATAACTTTCTTCAGAGCCTCTGTCTTGGATTTGATGTCTCCTTTTTCTAGGGAGAGAAAAGAAACCATCAAGATTATCATTGCAAATATAGGAACAGACACCCACACCCAGATATTCTTAAATAAATGGCTTGCTGGCAGTGTTAAAGGGATACTGTAGGCACCCAGCCCACTTCAGCTCATTGAAGTAGTTTGTGTGCAATGTCCCATGTCCCTTAACCCTGCAATAGTAATTACTGCAGTTATTGAAAAACTGTAATAATTACTATCCAGGGTTAACTCCACTTCTAGTGACTGTCTACCAGACAGCCACTAGAGGGACGTCCTAGATTGAAACGGACCTTTGGTCAGTTATCGGACGCTGGACGTCCTTAAGCTCTGCATGAGGATGTCCAGTGTCAGATTTTCCCCCACAGCAAAATCATTGACGTCAGCGGGGGAAAAGCACGGGCCGAGCCTGACCCAGCACCGAGGGGCATCAGCTCTGGATTCAGGTAAGTGACTGAAGGGGTTTTAAACCCCTTAAGCCTGGAGGGAAGGGGGCACTGTAGGATTCTATAGTGCCAGGAAAATGGCTTTGTTTTCCTGGCACTATAGAATCCCTTTAATGTTGTTGGCTAACAATTTTAGTCAAATGTTAGTCATCTAAATTTTTTGATTTAGTCGACTAAAACTAAAAACAATTCAGATTACTAAAATATGACTAAAACTAAAAAAATTTTTAGTCAAAAAAATATTACAACTAAATTGAAATTTGATGACAAGATTAACACTGCACTGTTCCCCGATAATGAGGCAAATCATTTTACATTAACAGCTTGCCCACTAGGCTCCTGGCAGGTTTAACAGAATCTGACTTCTGCAGAACTGGCTGTCAATCTTACCGCTCATTCAGTGACAGAGTGTCAGCTGACCTTTCTCAGCCAATGAAGCAGCGTCAATGCATCTAAATTTGCAGAGAATGGACATTATCGTGATGATGCCTTAAGACACCACTAGAGGTGGAGTTACACCACCGGCAGAAAAGGGATTAATTCGGCATGTTCAGCGTTTCACTGTGAAACCATGCACATACAGACTTCAAGCACCACAAAATCAATGAAGTGGTTATGGTGCCTGGCATAACTCTTAAAGAATTGGAATAAACTCTTAAAATCTTAGACATTTCTTGGCTCAGTGAAAATTGCTGAAAGATAGCTCAAAATGTGCATTGTGCACAAATCTGGGAAAAGGGTGGAAGTAGTCATATTATTCTGCAACATTTGAGAACTCCCACCGACCCCAAGCAAACTCACAGCATACTCTTCTACTATTCCAGGCTGCTTCCACTTTTTAATAGCTGGAAGGTGTGAGAGGCAATAATGAGCCCTTATGACTAATGCATTGTGTAAATGACCCTCCATGTTGGAGTAATGGTTTGCATTAATAGAAAGTGTCACCGAAGTGGCATGTTATTTACCAAGATCAGTCTTCAGGGTGATTTCAGACGGGGGCTCTGAATCCATGGGAACATTGATGAGCGTGTAGCACACATTCTCTGCCGCAGTCATGTTTCCTTCCGTTTAATGCCTTGAAATAAAACACGGGGTCACTGACGCAGTAGAACCTAAAGGGTGAGATATTTTATTCATAAAATACAAAATGCTGAATTACAATATTAGGACAATGGATGGTGTTAAAATTGTGAGTCGAGTGTATTCTGTAAATGTCAATCTATTTGCACCTTTCAAACATATATTAGTGAAGTTGAATATTCAGCACTCAAAACTAATTCATGGAAAATAGTAATTTAAGGTAAAAATGTACTGAACACCTCATGCCATAAGCATGTCTTTCCCCCTATGTGCGCTCTCTCTCCTTCCCCTTTTTCAACTATTTTGCTGTCTCTCTCCCCCGTCTCAGAGTCTTACTCTCTCTGCCCGTCTGTGTGTGTCTCTCTCTCACTCACTCTCTGACTCCCTCTCCCTCAGGCTCACTCTCTATGTCCATGTCTGTGTGTGTGTCTCTCTCACCATGTATCTCAGTCACTCACTGTCTTTCTCTTAGTCTCTCTCTCACCCTGTCTGTCTCTCTCTCTCTCTCTCTCACCCTGTCTGTGTGTCTCTCTCTCTC